AGCCCTGTCCCAGAATGCCCCTGACAGCAGCAGGGCATATGACAAACTATTTTGGGTGTCAAAACACAGTTGAGTTGAAATAAATGTGGAGATTTCCTCACCTGAAACATGTATCTGCAGAGAGTTACTGGCCACTGACCACACATGTGGAGTACTTGTATTGTACCCATAACATGTAAAGGGCCCACTGTTTCTGGATGCCACAGAGATCTCAGGAAACAGAGACTGGAACTGTCCCGTGTGTATGAACTGTGCCTTTTGAGACATGGAGAACTTCAGATCTTTCCCAGTCACAAAGAACCAATCATATCTTTTTGATGAGACACACCTGAGGGTCACATTCCCACCTGAGGTCATCACAGGGCTGGGCAAGGCTGACAAAGTAGGTTTGTCATGGTAGACACCTAGGAGAGAAGGAGGCAGACTATCAAGTGAAACAGACACTGTCTGTGACATGGACACTGTTGCCCACTCTGTGCTAACTTCCCCTTGGCAGGACAGCCTTGCCAGGTCACAGAGGAATAGGATGTAGGCAGTTCTGAGGAGGCTTGATTGGCTAGGCTCAGAAGGTAAGGGAGAAGGGCTCCCTCTTTGTGTGGACTGGGAGGGGAGGGTATAAGAAGGAAGAGAGAAGAAGAGTGGGACCAGGAGGAGACAAGGAAGGGGGCTAGAGTTGGGATATAAAATGAACAAATTTTTAAAAATGTATTTATTTAAAAAATTAAAAAGAAATAAAGAATTAGCAATTATAAAAGATATATGAGGGCTTTAAGAATCTTGATCAGAAGATCTTAAATGAGAAACAAATTCAATAATAATATAAAAATTAAACCGCCATAACATTCTCCAGCAGATTGGCTATGGAAGAACAGGTTTGGGAAAATGTTTCCGAGGAAAGAAGCAAGGGTTATGACCCTTAAGTCCTGCCACCTGCCACCACGAGCTCCAGGCTGTCACTGTGCTCTGCCCACCCAGAAGAGCTATAAGAGTAACAGTTATATCGCCTTGCATGCAGGCTGTCAAGGGATCAGGAATTTTGCCTCACAGTTGTGGTCTTTCTTGGGTCTCTCTGTCTGAGAATATTGGTCTTCCATTTATGTGAATTTATGGCATCCTAGGATCCCCTCACCCCAGCTGGTTGTGGGACTCTCTTAGGGGATCACAGAGCCTGAAGGAGCCAAATGTGGCTGGGCACTGACCACAGCTGGGAGCTGCTCAAGTAATAGCCATAGCATGGGAACCTCTGTCCCTGGTTGGAAGTCCCTGGACCCACAAGGCTTCAGATTGCTCATGGTATGTATTCTTTGAGGGAAAACTTCTCTTCTTCCTTCATTAGAATGAACTTGTTACAGGATGCTTGTGAGTCACAGTGAAGGCTCACATATCCTCCTGAGGTCACCACAGAGCTGGGCAGGGCTGACAGAGTGACTTTACTGGGGTAAACCTCTGGGAGTGAAGAGAGAGCCTGTAAGTGGAATCATTGGTAAACATCGCCCCCCTCTTCTGGGTACTAGAAGGAGAAATTTCTGTGAACAAACTGCTTTCCTCAGGGAGTTCCTAGACTGGGGAAGTGTCCTCTCACCTGTCACCACCAGCTCGAGTATGTCACTGTGCTGTGACCACCCAGCAGAATTGTAGCAGTAACAGCGATATCTCCCTGCATTGCGGCTTTGTATGGAAGTGATGGAGAAGATGACCTCGTTACCAGGCTTCTTTGGAATTTGTCTGGCCCAGGGTGCTGGGCTTCCTACTTTATACAGGAAATATATTTGGGTTTCCATGGTCCCCTTACACCAAATGGCCACAGAATTCCCTGAGGTGATCACAGAACCTGGATTGGCCCCCAAGGTGGGTTTCTTGAGGGTCCCTGAAAAAAAGAAGGTGAGAAGGAGGTAAGACTTTGAACAATCTTAGAGTAAAGGTCAAATTACTGATGACCATGAAGTTTACCCTTGAATAGCAAAAGGGTCAGTAATGTCATGGGAAGACCCATCACTCAACTGACTTCCCAGGTTCCATTCTCACTATCCCCTCCCCTCATTTACTGAATGCTGTCTCCCACAGCCTGCTCTCTGTGTCAGTTGGCTCTAGAGCACTGGGTTCTCAGACACATCACACACCACGTTCTCCACGGGGAAACTGAGTCGGGTGCAAATTTATTCAACAGAGAGTCTCAGACTTCCTCACCCGAGACCAGGAGCTCCACCGGGTCACTAGCTTCTGACCACACCTGAGGATTACTTGTTCCATAGCCAAAGCAGCTGAATCTCCACCTTTGGCCTGAGGTTATTGGTCCCACTTTGAAACTTGCCTCGTACACCCCAGTGTATATACTTTGGAGACGAGAGGATTGGAAAATCTTCTGATCATTCTTAGTTAAAACGAACCAGTTAAATCTTTCAGTTGAGGAACACAAGACTGTCACAGACATGCCCAGGTTTACAACAGGATTTTCCAGGGCTGTAAGGGTAGGCTTTTTGTAGACTCCTAGGAAAGATACATATGGAATATCAAATGGGCTTACACAGACCGCATGTCCCCCATGGTTGGTTTGTGATAGGAGATACAGTTAGGGCAGGATTTGCTTGAGAGTAACATCTGGAGCTAAGACCCCTGAGATCACTCTCACCTGTAACCACCAGTTCCAGGGTGTCACTGGGTTCTGACGACCCAAAAGAAGAGTAAGAGTAACAGCGATATTGTCCTGTATTCAGTTGTGACAAAGACGGGATGGTGAAATTTGCCTTATTGTTGTCCTTTTCTACCTTCATGTACCAGGACTCTTGGCTTCCCTCTCTGTATAGCACATATTCTTGGGTTTCTTGGCTCCCCTCACACCAGATAGTCACAGGACTACCCAAGGTCATTACAGAGCCTGGGTGAGCCCAGATGGAGGGTTTCTGGAGGGTCACTGCAAAGAAGTAGAAGAACATGAGGTGTGTCTGTTAGGATAGTTGCTTAAAGAAGGTCACACTTGCAAAGGACAGTGGTCTACAATAACAGAAGGACACCACTATTTTTGCAGGATTTTCAGTTCCACTGTTAATATCAATTTCTGCCCCCCAGGTACAGTTGAATCACACATTCTCTAACATTGGTTTAAATAGCATCCACTCTCAATGACCCTGACACATCAGGTCCTTCCCTGGGATTCTGTGTCAGTTGTAATATCATTTAAGGGAAAGGAAAAGGTTTTCTTACCTGAGACCAAGAGCTCTAGGTGGTTGCTGGGAACTGACCATAGCTGGGAATTACTTGAGTAATGTCCATAGCATGTGAACCTCCACCTCTGGTTGGGAGTCACAGGACCCACTGTGAACCTGGCCTGGAAGCTCCCAGTGAATGTATTCCTTGCTGGCTCAGCCAAGGAGAACTTCTCATCTTCCTTCACTAGAATGAACCTGTCATATGCCGCTTGTGAGAAACACTGAAGGTTCACATGCTGTCCTGAGGTCACGACAAAGCTGGGAATGGCTGACAGGGTGACTTTGTCTGGATGAACTCCTAATAGAGAACAGGAAGCCTGTTAAGTGGACTCCTCCTGAAAGCATTGCTCCCCTCTTCTCACATTTGAGGAAGAAGCCCCCAGTGAATATATTCCTTCCCTCAAGGGTCTTCTCACCTGTCACCACAAGTTCCATGATGTCACTTTTCTGTTCTGACATGTTAGTGAGGTGTATATAGGAACACCAATATCGGCCTGCACTGTTCCATTGAACTGATGAAATATAGACTCCGGCTTTTTTCTCAGTTTCTAGAAGTTTCCAGTAATCTTCACTTCCTTCTTTGTAGAAGCGATATTCCTTGACATGTAAGGGTCCTTCACAGAAGATGGTTACCTGGTTCCCACTGGTTACCACATTGCTTGGCACCATCTGGATTGTGGGTTTAGAGAGGGCCCCTGCAAGAAAATTGGCAGCTGGGTCCAAGGACATCTCCATCTGAGAGCTGCTCTCAGATCCGGTACCTTTCAAGCACCCCAACAATCAGTACACACCTGCTGTTCTCCATCTCCTCAGTTCAGGAGTGACCTGTAGTCCCACCAAGGATGTGCAGTCTGGGACAGCTAAGAAGACACTCACCTGACAGTGCTGGGTTCCCGAAGACCAGGCTTGGTCCTGCAAGAGAGTTACCTATGAGTGTTTGCACTGAAGCCTGAGCAGGCCCTGCAATTCCACATGACTTCTCAGCTGTGAGAGACCCATGGGCCAAGGCATGGTTGTGAGGTGGATTCCCTCAGACCAGAATTCTTCCTCCCACCTTCTCATCTCACCAAGATACAGAAGGACTGTGATAATGGGAGTCATAGCATCTTCCAGTTGCCGCAGATTTGCAGATAATTTTTCTTCTTGCCAAATGGAAGGACACAAAGCGTGTTATGGCTTATGAAGGCGCTTTCTTTCTGTGTCAGGAGGATATCATACTGTCAGCCACTGAGGAAGAGGAACTGATATTCTGGGAAGCCTGACTCTTGTTCCCCCAGTTCTGTGCTGGGTTGGGCTCGAGAATATGTGGTTTCTGTTTTTTCTAGTTCTTTAGTTTTGTTTTGGTTTCAAAAACAGAACTCTCAAATCTCATGCAGGTCTCAGTCTACTTGTTCTGTTTAGAGAGCTTCCTGTATGTTGGCATTACACACCCAAATATGACTGTAATCTCTTCATGCAAAACATCTCCATTTTACCCATCTACATCTTCCCGGATGGTCCTAGTCACCATGGGCCAGGACTCAATATAAAATAGCCCTGGCATTTCCTGAGCCAGCATCTTCCCATTTGAGGACACAAGGTAGTTGGTCTTTGTATTTCTGAGCTGCTTTTTGGTTTTTCTTTACTCCTTCCACCATAACAAACCAATGGCCATTCGTCACATTGGCCCTTGAGTGGCTTAGAGATTTTGTGTGCACTTTTTCTGAGGATATATGAAAAATGTCTATTGACCCAAGATGACACAGTTGAGACAGAAACAAAGACAATTCCCTACACAAATCTAGCTGGTGGGCCAATGAGTTATATTAGGGTTCCTTAGAAGTTTGTGGTTAATGTTTAAGTTGTTTTCAGATTTTTTTTGAAACAGTGTCCACTATGAACTATGGCTGTGCTGAAACTCACTATGTACACCTGACTGGCTTAAACTGACAGAGATCCATCAACCAGCAAGTACCTGCCAAATGTTCAGATAACAGTATGCTCCATGATGCACAGCAATATTGGCAAATTTTCAGTGCTTACATTACAGCATAAAACTATTGTGCAGCACCTTTTAACTGGCTATAGTTCCCCAGGGAACTATATTCCTTCTTTACCATGAAGGAATATTGATAGGATCAATCTTGTGTAGGTCAGCTGTGTGTAATCACAGCTACTGAGACATCAATAGGACCAGAGTCATGGCATTCCTCAAGAGCAGTGTTCCACAGCAAGGGCAGATGGAGGTTCATGCTGCTTAGAGAATGCAGAACAGAAGAGACACATTGAGAACGTGATCATACAGTTGTCACAAATGAACACAGAGGACACTTGTATGGATATGTGGAAGACAGCATGATATTGTCATGGGTCTTGATTTGATTCTAGTCTGTTCAACGGTCTCCTACAGTCCTTGCCTCTTACCAACAAATGCAATTTCTATAGGCACAACCTTAGCATTCTTACCTCTTTGTTTCTTTTATTTTATTGTTCAGAATTCTTCTAGGTATTTTTTTATTTTTTTAATATTAATTAATTTATTCACTTTGTCTCACAACTGTAGCCCCTCCATCATTATCTCCCAATACCACTCTCCCTCTCTCATCTCCTCCCATGCTCCTCCCCAAGTCCACAGGTAGGGGAGGCCTACTACCCTTCCATCTGACCCTAGCCTATCAGGTCTCATCAACACTGGCAACATTATCTTCATTTGTGGCCTAGTAATGCTGCTCCCCATCAGGGGGAGGTGATCAAAGAGCAGCCACATAGTTCATGTCAGAGACAGTTTCTGTTCCCCTTACTAGAGTACCCACTTAGACACCTAAGCTGCCATGGGCCACATTTGTACAGGGGATCTAGGTTATCTACATGCATGGTCATTGGTTGGAAAAGACTCCTGGGCCCAGGTTTCTTGGTTCTGTTGCTCTCCTTGTGGAGCTCCTGTTCCCTCCATGTCTTTCTATCTCCCTCTTCTTTCATAAGGTTCCCTGCACTCTGCCCAAAGTTTGGCTATGTAGAGTCTTCCAGAGGCCCTCTCTGGTAGGCTCCTGTCTTGTTACCTCTTTTCTTCTTCTTCCGATGTCCATCCCATTTGTCTTTCTGAGTGAGGATTGAGCATCTTACCCAGGGTCCTCCTTCTTGCTTAGCTTCTTTAGGTGTACATATTTTAGTATGTTTATCCTATATTATATGAGTAATAGCCACTTATAAGTGAGTACATACCATATGTGGCTTTCTGCTTCTGGGATACCTCACTCAGGATGATCTTTTCTAGATCCCACCATTTGCCTGCAAATTTCATGATTTCCTTGTTTTTAATTGCTGAGTAGTATTCCATTGGGTAGATGTAACACAATTTCTGTATCCATTCCTCCGTTGAGGGACATCTGGGTTGTTTCCAGATTCTGGCTATTACGAATAAAACTGCTACAAACATGTAGCAAATGTCCTTGTTGGGTAATTGAGCACCTTTTGGATGTATGCCTAGGAGTGGTATAGCTGGACCTTGAGGAAGCACTTTTCCTATTTGTCTGAAAAAGCACCAGACTGATTTCCAAAGTGCATGTACAAGTTTACATTCCCACCAGCAATGGCAATGGAGGACGGTTCCCCTTTCTCCACATCTTCTCCAGCATGTATTGTCACTTGAGTTTTTGCTCTTAGCCATTCTGATGGGTGTAAGGTTTTGATTTGCATTTTCCTGATGAATAAGGAGGTTGAGCATTTCTTTAAGTGTTTCTCTGTTGTTTGATATTCCTCTATTGAAAATTCTCTGTTTAGCTCTGTACCCCATTTTTAATTGGATTTCTTGATTTTTTGCTGTTTAACTTCTTGAGTTCTTTATATCTTCTGGATCTTAGGCCTCTGTCAGATATAGGGTTGGTGAAGATCCTTTCCTAGTCCCTGTTCTTCTCGTGTTCTGTTCAGGAAGTTGTCTCCTGTGCCATTGAGTTCCAGGCTCTTCCCCACTTTTTCTCCTAACAGGTTTAGTGTGTCTGGTTTTATATTGAGGTCTTTGATCCACTTGGACTTTAGTTTTGTGCAGGATGATAAATAGGGATCTATTTGTGTTTTTCTACATGTGGATATCCAGTAAGACCGGCACCACTTGTTGAAGACGCTGTCTTTTTTCCATTGTGTGGTTTTGGCTTCTTTGTCAAAAATCAAATATCTGTAGGTGTGTGGGT